TTGCTCCAGCAACAGTGGGTGGGGGGGGGGGGTGGGGGATCTCACGAGTGGGAAACGGCTGGCGGGTGGTGTGCTCCCACCTTCGGTTTGGCCTCACTCAGTCAAATGGTTGTACGTGAGATCGCCGCCATAACGTTACATATCATACTTTGAGTCAGCGCACAGCTTTTGTACAGATATGTCAACATCTTTTAATTTGACGTTAAGCTTTCATTACATTATATACAATGTCTCTAGCATAATCGCTGCTTGGGGGGCTGCAATGGGCTGCTGGTGCTCACTTTCCAGGGGGTGGGGGGGGGGGTGCTGGAGGTGCATGCTAACAGCGCTCTAGCCAGCGTCCTAGCATCCTGGTAGTGTACTGCCCGGCTCTGGCCAGCATCCTGGTAGTGTACTGCCCGGCTCTGGCCAGCATCCTGGTAGTGTACTCCCCGGCTCTGGCCAGCGTCCCGCAGGCTCACTGATGTCACTGGTTGCCAGAAGCTGAGCAGGACACCAGCCAGAGTGTCCCAGGTTGCTAAGAGATAAGAAGGGAGATGTGTATGGCCCTCACACATCTCCTTGCCTGACTCTTACCAACTTGGGATGTTCTGACCAGAAAGGGCCTGCTGCCCCCCTCCACGTGACCCAAAGAGATGCTGACTGGGCCAAACCATCAACCACAAACATCGAGTTCTAGTGATTCCGTCCACTTACTCTATCCACTATCCTCTGTCCACTTGACATGGAGGTCAACCCATGTTGTCTTTATGAAGCTGGTTTTGGGCACAGGGGCACAGTCATGCTGGGACACAAAAGGACAAACAGTTGCCACAAGGATGGTAGTTCTGTCCACTTACTTTCCATGACCAAAGGTTTGTGGACACCAGACCATCACAGCTATATGAGCTTGTTGGACATCCGATTCCATAGCCATGGCCATTAGAAAGAAGATGGTGCCTCCTTACCCCCACCCCCTACGGCTATAACATCCACCACTCTTCTGGGAAGGGTGTCCACAAGATTTTGGAGTGGGGCCGTGGGAATTCGTGCCCATTTAGCCAAAAGAGCATTTGTGAGGTCACGTCCTGATGTTGGAGGAGAAGACCTGGCTCACAATCAGCATTCTAATTCATCCCAAAGGTGTTCAGTTTGGATGAGGTGCAGGATGACTGGTCTTGTCTCCGCCCCCTTGTGTAATAAATACTGGCAGACTGGCTATTGCTGCTCTCTCTTCTTGTGCAGGATGACTGGTCTTGTCTCCGCCCACTCGTGTAATAAAGACCGGTCACCGCTGCTCTCTCTCCTTGTGAAGGGTGACTGGTCATGTCTCCGCCCCCTCCTGTAATGAGGACCGGTCACTGCTGTTCTCTCTTCTTGTGCAGTGTGGCTGATCTTGTCTCCGCCCCTTCTGTAATAAAGACCGGTCACTGCTGCCCTCTCTCCTTGTGCACGGTGACTGGGCTTGTCTCCACCCCTTCCTGTAATAAAGACAGGTCACTGCTGCCCTCTCTCCTCGTGCAGGATGACTGGTCTTGTCTCCACCCCCTCCTGTAATAAAGACAGGTCACTGCTGCTCTCTCCTTGTGCAGGGTGACTGGTCTCCTGTAGTTCCCTGTAGTGGGTTGGGCCCCTCCCACAGCTCTCCCCTATGCACAGTCTATGTACAGCACAGTGATGATGCCTCTGCTCCTTTTAAAAGGTAATATTTGGGTTTGCGAAGGCATTTGATGTACACGAGGTGCAGTCACCCGTTGCAATGAAAAAAATTATGTTTTTTGCGTCCAGACTTTGGCTTTAAATGAAGAAAAAAAAAGAACATTTTGAAGCTTTTCTAAGCAGCTCGATGAGCGAAACTGAGAATTTACGATTCATCACCATTTTGCTGAATGAATTTCACCGCCAGTATTGGTTTTGTGGGCGTGATAAATCAATGACTCAAGTGTGATCAATTAAGTTTTCACGACTGATGAGTGTATAGTGGCGTAGAATCTGCACGCTGATATCTGGCGTGGAAACCCGCGTGCCACATTTAGAAGCGGGAGGCGAACGTCTCATTATCCCCCTTTATGTCCAATTTTAGTGCAGCGCTGAGCCCTCTTTGTGAGCTTTAATTATTAGCGGGATGCGGCGCAGCTAAATGAATCCATTAGCCTCTCGCAGCCTCTAATACAAGCATGATATCACCGGCGGCACCACCGCCGCCGCTCCTCGCTTGACTGCGGATGGTTTGGTATGAGGGTCTCCGCACTGCAGGAAGACTCCGGGCTCATTGCTGACTTTCAATCAACCAAACATTAACTATCGGCGCTTCAGGGATGCCGATCGACGCCGTTCGCTCGCGCTTCTACCTTCCCGGGGAATTCTAATATTTCGGCTAATGATGTTGTCTGACTTTGAGCGCAACGCGAAGCCAAATTTCCTCAGCGCTGCCGGCGACGATTAACCCTTTATCATAAAAACCGGTCAGGTCTCAGAGGTTACAAGTACCTTTTTTCTGCCATACACGACGTGCGGCTGTTGTAGCCGCGATCGTGTTCAGGAGGGCGGGCGGAATCGTGGCGGGAAACCGCGAAATCCGCCCGGCGTGACTGGGGTGCCATTGAAAAGTAATGGCACCTACAGCGCGGTCAGTGCACATCTATACAACTCCTCAGCACACGGCAATCCGCCCGGAATCGTGCACGATTGCCGCGCGGTACGGTGTGTCACATAGGTGTGCACGGGCCCTTATTGTATAATAAAAGAAGAGGTCTCAGAGCCACACGCACGCTGCGAATGGTTTTCAGGTGGTCTGCAGCTGAGACCTCTTTGCTGGCAAGTAGGGCAGAGCGCGGGGAGTTTGGTTGTGGGTTTTTTTATTCGCCCATTGGGGGGGGGGGGGATCTATTTAGGAAAAATTCACAGAGCCATTCGCCATGCGAATCTCTGTGAAAGTTCGTTCTGTGCGAATGGAGACAAAGACGAACGTTCTTATTTATTTGTTACAGGTATTTATATTGTGACGATAAATGACATAGTGCACATTCACATCAGTCTATGACCTCAAGCAGCGTACAATCTAAGGTCCCTGACGCACACACACACACACTTAAACAGGAGCCAATTAACCTTCCTGCATGCCTTTTGAGTGAAGGAGTGAGGAAACCCATGCATGCACAGGAAGAACGTGCAAACTCCATGCAGATGGTGTCCTGACCGGGATTCAGACCAGTACTGCCAGGCAGAAGAGCTAACCACTAAGCCGCTAGTGTGTTTTATAGCCTCTTTTAGGCTGAATGCAATGTAATGTAATACATCATTATAGCCACTAGATGGAGACGATGAGCAAAGGAAATAACCAGGGATGCACCGATACTGGTATTTCGGTATCAAGTACCAGTACCGATATTTTTATTTTTGGTACTCGCTATTATATCGAATACCGATACCGGAAGTCCCAATAAGGAACCAGGCGGCATGTAATGACTCGCCACCTGGCTTCCTGATTAGCAGGGAAGCCATCTCCATGGTTCTTCGTCACCAGGTGACAAGGGAGCATGAAGCCGGCTCTCTGGTCAATCAGGAAGCCGGGGG